TTGCTGCAGATGTATAGTTAAGCTTAGATGGGTGCTTGTAGGAGTGTGATTTGCATCCTTGTGAATGCAAAGAGATATTACTAGTAATATCTATAACTAGTAATCAGGTAATGTCTGAATAGGAAGGTAGCTCATCAGAATTTTGAATAACCGTTCTTTAAAATTCCCTGAAGATGTCTCTCTTGTTTACCTCATGGTGTTGTTGTTTTTTTGCTTCTGCTTCCAGCTCCTTTTGAGGGTTCCCATTTTTAAAATGCCAGATAATTGGGTGCATAGGACTTCAGAAGTAGTATTGCCCAGTGCAGGCCTGAGGAAAGGTTCTGTTCTAAATCCTTAACTTCCAATTCCTCCAATTTAGACAAAGGTGCACACAAATATTGGAAGGTTGAGCCTGAAGTGGTGACATCTTTGCCTTGAAAAGCAGAGAAGATTTTTTTTTAAAAGGATATTGGTTCAGAGCCCACAAGCTTTGCATATTCATACTGCTCACAGTTGTTCAGCATTTGAAAATTCAGGTAATGAGCATACAATACTCTAGTTGCCTTTGTATTGCTTGGGGGTTTGCTGTTCTAGTAATGTCTCCACAGAAACCATCCTATCAAGTCAATTTTCCCCTTCAAATTGAATCAGTACTTGTACATTGAAGTTTTCAACATCACCCATAAGGTTTTTAAGCCTTGTCAAATGAATCTGCATGGTCTCTAACCATGAATAAAAATGATTTCAGATATCATCTTTATTTCAAGTTTTATTTCATGGGATTAATTTAATTGATTGTGCTGTTGGCTATGTTAAGTTGTTGCTGCAATAAAAGCATTTTGCCGTTTCGCAAAAATGCAGATTTATTCGTCTTTTTGCATTTCTGAAGCCAACATCCGGCACCCAAAGCACCACCTTTTTATTTTTAAATGTTTTGTCACTTTTATAAATGACACACACTTTTTAATCACAAAGGGTTTCAGTCTTCAGTCCCTTATTATGGATGTATCTCCTTTTGTAGGATCAATATTCATTTTGGTCCTTTATACAAGAGTTTGAAACAACTAATATTAAAGATATAGTGTTGAGTGTGGTTTCATCATTCTGTGTGTACACACACAGCTGAGATTTCTCAGTACCACATCAAAAAGCCGTTGATAGAAGTCTGTGTTACCAAAGGAGAAAAAATGGTATCAAATAGTGCCAAAAAGTTGTGATTTACAAGAACCAAAGAGAACCAAAAAAAGGTGTGATTTACAAGAACCAAGAGCCTTTAAAGTGACTAAGCTCTAGGATCTAGACAAGCCTTTTCCTTCCTCCATTTATGCTCTGGCTAGGAGAACTGCTGTTCTGATTCCATGCTTTGGACTTGCTTTCTCCAAGAGCAGCCGCCAAGAGCAAGGAGCTTTCATTTTTTAAAAAGGTAAGTCTCTAGCACTTTGTAGAATAAAAATTATGAAGCAAAAATCGGCAGACACCATGTGAAACAATTGCTTTTATGAGATATGAGCTTGCTCCCATCTTTCATTGTGTTTCTATCCAATGGGTGAAGTCACAGCTCTGATTGATGAGTCAAGAAATTTGAAGTTATACACAGAGAATATTGCAAAAAATGGCTTCAGAATGACCCAGGGAATCACTTCTCCAGACAATGCAGAGTTTGTAAGGCAGAGTTGGAAGGTCTATATTTTTTACTTCCTTGGTGGGTGGGTGTCTATATTTTTTTCTCTTGACTCAGGCAGTGGAGAAGATACTGACTTTGTTTTGAAGGGAATTCCTGACTCACATAGAAGCTGCTTTTCCATTGTCTTTCCTAGTAAAGAAGTGATTGCAGCCCAGAGCAAATAATTTAGAAAGTCATGATTTTTAGTACAATTGTGACTTGGCAGTAGCAGCAAAAATAGGATAGCAGCAACACAGGTTTAATTTCATGCAAAAAACGACAACAGCCCCCCCCCCATGTGAACATTTTAAAA